GGGGGGACCGCATTCTGTTGATCGATATACAGTGAATACTTTGAGGGGGAAAAGTTATCGGGGCCCTCAGAAAGTCATCCGATGTTTCCTCCCTAATCTGAAACGAAGTTTGATTTCACCGCGATCCTTTGGGTTTTGCAGGTTCTTCAGCCCCCGGGTCCGTTGGGACCAGCAGAGAGCACCCCGCAGGCATCCAGACGAGACTTGCGTCTCAACTATTCCAGCGGAGTTGCACTGATCAACAAAGCATCTTGAAAACAATGAATAAAGTTGGCTTGCACGTTTTGGAAGTGTGCGTAATGGGTGTTTTATTTGCACTTTATTCACGATCGCCAAGAAAGCAAAATGACAAAACGACACGATCTCTTTGTGCAACTCGTCTTCAATCGAAAACGAAGTTGGCTTTGCAAACTCTCTCTCCTGATCTCAGGATGGCATTATGAAGGCAGGCAGCGGTAGGAAATTACTGGCGTGGTCGATGGGGTTATGGGTGAGGTTGGAGTGCTGTCACATCGCCCACGAGAGAAGCCAACCGTTTCACCAATTATGTTCTTTTTTTTTTAACCTTCAAAACCGGACTCGTGTAGTCGGCCGCCTTTGACTACATATAAAAATTGCGAAATGTTCATTCCGGGATGGCCTGGTGGTAAAAGACATCTCTGGCTAAGCAGGCGGAACGAGTTCGAGTCTCCGTCTGCTCTCCATTTATAAATTTAGCAAGAGTCGAACCCGGATTTCCCGTCACCAAAGTTAGAAGTTTGAACCAGAAGTGAACACCCCACAATATACGCCAGGCGTCTCACCAAACATGTTCCTTTTTTGAATCACATCACAAGGCTGACACCCTATGGTTACATATTAAAATTTCGAAATTTTTACGGCCGAATGGCCGAATGGTAAAAGACATCGCGCTGTAGTCAGGCGAACCGAGTTCGAGACCTGCCGTGTGCTCCATTTATAAATCAAGCAAGAATCGAAACCGGTTTCACCGGGTTCCAAGTATTGTCGTTATCCATTCGACCACGCTAGGTCACTGAACAAACTTTTCGGTTGGTTATATTTAGACCCAGTTTAACGGGGCTCATGACAATAGATAAATGTAATAGTGGTTGACGTCACTGTGGAAGGACAGTCCGGTGGTATATGACAGGGATTCTCCACTGGTCAACTCAGGTTCGAGCCCCGATGCTGTCCTTTGGCAAAGCCATCGTCATTTCGCTCGGATTTTTTTCCACACATCTTCACATTCACTTCCTTTTTCAAATTAAAAGTTTTTCTTTCCGGAAGTGACGTCATCGACAGAAACCTATTTAAGCCGGGCCAACGAGACACTCATTCTTTCTCACCTTTGACAGCCTCCGGTCGTCCTCCCGCTGCTCCTGCTCTGCACGGCCGTCCAAAAAGGAAAACTCCAACAAGGTGAGTTTTTTTACTCTTTAATAGCCTCTTAAAACACACCGCTTTCGCTCCCTTTGAATGGAAAGTAGCACTTCAGACGTGCTTGCACCTGGCTAACATGCTTAAGCAAAAATGTTTGCTCGAGCGTTAGCAATCAACGTCTCCTGCGACCTTACTTTGCAACAAAACTTTTTTTCCCCCCAACCTTCTAGGACGCAAGCGACGTTCGCCGAGAGGGTAAGTTGACAAAACTCATTTCTAAATTCACAATTAAACCGAACCAATGTGCATGCGTGCGTGTTAATTGTCATTTCTGTTCACAGGTACAATTCTTCAAATGGACTAAACACGGGCCACTCTCTGTGCGTTGTAATGTGGCATTTAAGTCCTGAACAGTTTGGAAAAAGCCCATCTAATTTGTCTCTTTTTCTATCCACAGGCTTTGCATCTGCTACAGAATGGCCAAATTGACTGCAGCACGGTAGAACTGCCACATTTTAAGATACCGCCGTACGACAGACCAAATCCCTCATGTGTCGATTCTCATTTCTGTCTCCACAGGCTCACGTCGACAGAACGACCCATAAAATGGCTGCCATCCTGTGGCGTTTGGGGCCCCGGCAGGTCTTTGACATGTCGACCAAATATTGGGGTGCTGAGCCAGGCGCTTGGAAGTTTGCATATTTAAAAGTGAAGAGCTTACGTTGCCGTGTCTTTCAGGCCACCGCGCTGTCGAAGAGGAGTGTGGCTCTGCTCTCCTCACAAGTGAAGCAAACTTTCATACATGTGTGACTACTCATGATTAAATCGGCACGTGATTGACTAAAAATTGGGCACAGGTGTCAAAACTAGAAATGTCAAAGGTTTGGCTTCAACCACAGGAGCTTCTCCTCAACCAATTCCCAGGAAGCTCGTTGACCTGCTGGTTGAGTAGGCGCACCTGTGGCTAAAATCAAACCGTGGCGGGGCTTTTAATTCTGGCCCTCTCACACTTATCCAATCAGGTGCGTTGCACCAGGGAGAGAGTTAGGAAGCTGTCAGCAGAGTGGCACCTGCTCAACATGTGCGTGTTTGTCCTGCTTTTGTCCACCAGATGGTGTTCAACGACCCGATAGACGTTGTGAAGCCGAGTCGTCCCTCAACGTTTGGACCTGTTGCGTGTCGGCAGGCCCTCAGGAAACGTGACGTCACGATCCACCTGATGTCACACACACGCAGGCTGGTGACTGAAGCTCCACCCAAAAAGCACTGCATATTTTGTGAAGCACACTCACCTGCTTTTTCTTTGACTCTGCATGCAGTGCAGCTTCCAGTGACCCTCCACCTGCTGGGCAAAGAGACAAAAGCGACAAGCTTGCAGAAGGTCCTCATTGCTGCCTCCATTTGCAACGTTGCCGTTGAAGGGTACAAAATAAGAGTGACGGGTCTCTCGTTTGTGGTGTTGGCAGGTTTGACCACCTTGGATGAGTCACTCGACCAGTAGTAGCTTGGCCTGTTGGTGTTGATCACTCTCGAGCAACTGTCGCAGCAAAAGGTTCCAGTCTCCACTTAATCCACACTTGGGAAGCAAGTTGAAAAATGAGGAGCAGAGTAAAACGGAACTGTGTTTCTGGTTTGTAATTGGTGTCTACCGACCTGTGCTTTGTCTTTCAGATGGAGCTGTTGGAGTGCGATGAGGTGAAACGTGACTCTGAGCCATCTGCTGGTAAGAAGTCTCATTTCAATAAGCCGGATTTCATTTTTCAGAGGTGAAGGAAGATTGTTCTTGGGTCCTCCGTGCCACAAGAGGGAGTAACCTGCTAACCGCCAGAGTCCACCTACGAGCACAGACCTGCAGGCAACACTTTTTGCTCTTCTTCCTGTTATTCACAAGGTGCTGAAGTCAAACGTTGGGCCAGCCTGAAAAGTAGGAAACATTTACACCCGTTCAATGCACCATCATGACTACATTTTTGGAACCCCCCCTTTCTTTTCTCTAGGCAGCAGTAAACATGATCGCCTTCCTGCCCTCCAAAGACCCAACACTGACTCTCTCTGGTAAGTTTCATGCCTAAGACATCTTTGTCTGCACAAGAAATTGACTTGCGTGTAACTCACGGATGTCTTTCCTCTTAGGTCAACACACCTGTCCCACGTTCTTCTCAAGAGCCGACCACTTCGCCGCCCAGCAACAAACAGACTGCCATCTAACTTGCAACTTTTTCCTCTGCTTTGTGATTGTCTACTCTGCAAAAGAAATAAAGCTTGATTACAAAGAACACTTCAACTCAACTTCATTTTTAAACACATCACCACAATCTAACTTTAAAAAAACATTTTTTAAAACAAAATTATTTTCAGTTTTTTCTAAAAATTTTTTCAAAAATTTTTTTTCAAAATTTTTTTCCTGGATTTTTTTTTTCCAGGAAGAAAAATCCAGGAAAGTGGGTGTGGCCTGGCTGGAATGATGGCTGATGATTCGCTGGTAGCTGTGAAAGTGGGTGGAGCGTGACAATAACCTGCTGCGATTGGTGGAAATGGGGGCGCGGTTATGCAAATGAGGCGTTCTCTGATTGGTGGGCGCTTCGGCGGGCGTGGTTATGTAAATTTGGAGCGATCTGATTGGTTAGGAGTATGAAAGTGGGCGTGGTTATGCAAATTGGACTATTCTGATTGGTTATGCAAATTTATGCAAATGAGGGTCTCGCTGCGATTGGTGGATGTCAAATTGGGTGTGGTTTGGGGCGGGCATTGCAGCACTTTGTCAAAGTCCCACTTGATTCTTGAGCTCAGACTTGCACTTGGGTCACATAAGACAGTCTTTTCACTGTTCCAGTGGGTTTCACATGACCCAAAAGCTCGATTCCTGGAGTTTCAAGTCTTGTGGAGACCAACGGGAACAGTGAAAAGACTGTCTGATGTGACTGAAGCGCAAGTCTGAGCTCAAGACTTCAGTCTTTGAAAAGGCTTCGAGTGAGTTGAGGACGGATTTGGTCATGAAAGGCAAAGACTCGAATTCAAGTTGAACAATTTATTGGACAGAAAAGCAAACATGACAATGTAGAAGCATTTGACCAGTCAATCTTTGTGTGGGCCAGTTCAAGTTGCACGCACACAAGCACCGAGATGAGAGCATGTGCTTGACCAGCTCTTGTGTGATGTCACTGACATCGCATGAGACACCGAGGGGCACATGAGCACGTCCGACTTCTCTCACTGAGACAAAAACTAACTGCCGTGTACTCTACAACAACATGATCACACTCTTCTGGTCAAGTTTTTAAATGACATTGAAGTGGGCCAACTTAGTCATATGTATGTAAATGTTACATGATCACACTCTTCTGGTCAAGTTTTTAAATGACATTGAAGTGGGCCAAGTTAGTCATATGTATGTCCAGTATATATATATGCATACATAGACACATTTTTAAACCAACTTGGTCCACTTCAAGCTTTAAAAACATATTCCAGAAGTGCTTGATGATGCTCGGGTTGTCTATGTGGAGTTGACACTGTTGTGCAGTACACGAAGCAGAAGTTTAAGTTGAGTGAGAGAAAGACAGGCGGGCGCACTCACCTCCACCTTGTGGTGCAGCGTGACATCAGACATCAGCTCTTTAAGCACACCACACAGGTCAGTACTCACACATCTCCAAATGCAGGTTGGCGTCCCTTCCGCATGTCCTCCGAGTCTGGCGGCTGCGCCTTTGGCCCAGTCATCTGACTAATCTGGTCAGGCAGAAAAACAAAACAAAAGTGGAAAAAAAAGTTGTTTCTTTTTTTCTTATTGATTTGAGTCCTTATTCGTAAAGTGGCAGACTTTTACTTGAAACCCGTCCATTTCCAAACGTGCCCTCACTCGCAATGCATCTGTTTGAGCGATCCACTCGCGGCTTTCTCCCCACACCTTAAGTACAATGAGCAACCTCCTTTCGAAAAACAAGTTAACAAAGTCACGGGTGCATTTGTGTGAATAGTTTTGAAACAAATCTCCCCCCCCCCTTGATGTGAAGCCATCACACTTCCACTGCTGATAGCAGCTTTGGTGTGGAAAACATACAGAATAGTAGTCAAGTCAAACGCTGTTCTCGATTGCTTTTTGATTGACAGCTGGGGTCTACTTGTCGGCGGCGTGCTCGCTCACTTCCCCCTTTGCTGACGTTGTTTTTTACGATAACTTCCAGTGACTTAGTGAGTCACAACAACAAAATTAGAGGAGCAACGTGTCGTAATAACGCTCCCCAAACGTCTACATCAATACACTCACAGCTAAATGGCGAAGTCAGTTTATAATATTAAAATACTCACTGAGAACAGGGCTTATGGACAGCGGAAAAACTTGCTCATTGAACCGGATGTGGTACCGTTCTTGTGCTTGTACTTATTCTTCTTCTTGGTGAATATGATGTCTTTAGTTCATATCGCCCCCTACTGTCCGGGAAACCACAAAGGCGTTTGGCAAGCAATCTGAATCTAATTGACAGTATTATCCAAGCGTGCAAAAACACAAAAGCATACCTGTCAACTTGTACGTTTTCCCCGTATTTTATCCGTTTTTTAATCATTTCAAATCACGTACGGCGTATTACAACTTTTATACGGAGAAAAAAAAATTGTGAACCATCTCACAAAGACCATTTTGGCTCAAATCCAGATAGTCTCACCTGCTGGTAGCCAACGACAACGACAATGCCGTCGTCGATCGCTGCTATTGTCACGGCAAACCAGCAAAAGTAATCCTCAATCGTATATTTTTTTTCATCGCCCCGTACGGTCGGATTGATAAAGCATGATGAGCGCATGCGCGGTAAGCAGTTTTACGGGTTTTCGTTGCTTTGTACGGGGAATCGTAATCATTTATAAGGGCAGCCGAATAAAGATTCATTAAAAAAAAAAATTAAAAATTAAAAAAAAAAATAATTTATAAGGGCAGCCCTTTGCCGAGGTTGACAGGTATGCAGACACTAAATTAGGGCATATCTTGAAGAACCACAGATTTCAAGGGCAGCTGATCCACTGAGCTGGTGAAAATACCGAGCTTCCGTCTACCCCCGTTTTTATCAAAGTAATGGAGAGTAGATTGTGCATTGTCGCAGCATCTGTCCCGTCAGAGAAGGTGTTCTCAAAGACTGGACAAATAATTACAGAGAAGGAGCCGGATCAGCCCGTCCAAGTTGATTTAGTTTTGTTGACTGCAAATTTAAAATAAAGCAAAGCGTAGTTTTTGTTTGTTAAAATAAAGCAAGGAGTCGCTTAGGTTTGTTTTGTTCGCTGCTGCTGTTGCACTTAATACTCACTATTTTTGTTATGATGCAGCATGTTTGATTGTTGTTGGTTGAAGTTTAATTTTGTTGCTTGTTTATTGTTTGGAGCTTTTTTAATGTAGTAAAAAAAAAGAAAAAGTAAAAAGCCATTTCTTTGCTTCATAATTGTTGCTATTTGCAGTCAGTAGAGTGCAATATTTATTTCACCAAGTCATTTATCAAAATGTATGCTAAATTTGTCAAATATTTAAAAGAAAAGCGAGTTAAAAGAGCCGTTTGAGAGCCAAAAAGAACCGACTCTTTTCACTGAGCTGATCCAAATAAACCGGATCACCGAAAAGAGCCGAAAATCCCATACTCGTGGAGACTTCTTCCTGGTTCATTCCATCACCGAGGAGGAAGAGGTGACGCCACTTACCTGGACAGGTGCAAATTTTAAAAGACAATTTGACTCTATTAACCGCAAGAAAACACCTTTTTATTGTTGCATCCTTGCTTTACGGCTGATCACTTTGGTTTGTGAGTTTTGGTTTTGTTATTTTCGGCCAGTTTCAGTCATCACATGGCTATAAGCAGCAACCGTCTAGAACCGGTTTAACTGGGTTTGTTTGAAATCACAACAATGGACAGACAGACGGGACACTTTAGTAGGTGCTTGCACATCCCAAACCAATCAATGTCTTGCTCCTTTATTTGGCCACAAAATAAAACTTCATTATTCAAATCTTGTACAATAAACCCTCGCCCATTGTCAGTTTTTTGTCGCACAATCAAACTTCGTTAAACTGAGTTGAAAAGGTTCACTGAGTCAAAAGTTGTGCTTTGCCGCCATTCTGTGGCAATGGCTAATAAATGTAACTTTTAAAAGGCACAATATAGAATAAATACCGAGTTGTTTATAGGCGACGAGGGCTCTAATTTTCATGGTCTCGGTTTTTGTCAAACAAATTCTCCCCCGCTATCCCAAAATTGACATTTTTTTGACTTGTCGGACTTAGAAGGAAGAAAAAACACCACAAAAATGTCCCAAACAGCGAGGTAATACTGCGATATATTTAGTTATGGTCACAAATGAAAATATACAATTGAGTGAGTGAGCTATATCCGAACCGCTAAGTAGCGAGTGAATTGCAACTTTGGATTGTGCAGGTGAAGTTTACCTATTGAAGTTTATCTTGCCTCGAAGTGACCACTAGATGGCACTGCATACCAGCTTCCCATGGTCTCAGTTGCCAAAGAATGCATTTTCATTCCCATATTAAGGCAATAAATAGTTATTTACACTTGGAAGTTGTAAAAGTCAGCAAATGACCTTTGAAACACAGAAAAGGGGATAATGGACCAAATGATGAGGGATGGTTTCTCTTGTCCCAGCAAACGTCAGTTATCTGAAGGTGGAAAGCAAAATCGCAGAGATTTTCAGAAGTCAAGATGAGGCAGGATTTGTGGTGATTTGTTTCCGTACCTCTGCACTCGTATCTGAGGTCAGAGAAGAGCACGTGTTCCTGGGAGAAGACAAACATTCCCAGTCGCCCACCGGCCAGCGTGTGATCGTAAACGGCGCCCGAGTCCGACAGGATCTCCCTGCCCTCGTACACCACCACCCTGTGTGAGGAAAAACATCGTATGTGCAGAAGCTTATTTTGCTCCCCTCCAAGGTTTGTCCATTTCGTTGCTCATTATCGTCGATCGTTCCCAATCACACCATCGGTGTGAATCACATTTCACATTTCCATACCTGATGAAGCCCGTCTTAGGTCTGTGGATGAGGTGCATGCGGTACGCCGTGTAGTCCTTCCAGCCCGTTTTGTTGGGATCGTGCCACAGTGTCCGGACCTGATGGGAGAGAAAGCACACGCGTGTTTTGTCGGAGCTTTTGAAGCATGAACTCACACGTCCTTCTGGCGCGATTGAGAAAACCGTCTCAATGGCTTGACATGAGCCTTTCGCCGTCTACCCATTCCCCGTCATGAAAATGTCTACAAAAGAGTCGCTGCCTGGTTGCGGGTGTTGCCGGTGTGCCACAGGGCGTTGCGCAGGTATTCTCCCGGCCCCGTGCTGGAGTTGACCAGTTTAATGGAGACCCCCGCTGTTCCGAAAGCCTTGGAGGGCTTCTTTTCCCAATAGGCTTGAGACACCTGTTCTCAGAAAGCAAGTTGTTGGTTGCTTTGATTGCTGCTACGTATGAGCACAGACATTTAGCTAGACTGCTTTCGAACTCTCACACCTGTTTCCACATGACAACGTAGAAGCGTCGACTGGACTGATAGGCGAAGACGATGCCGGCATAGTCGTCATCCCGGTTGGTGTTCACGTAAAACGTCACGCTGAAGTCCACCGCGTTGAATTTGTCATATCCTGTCCAAACATTTGACCGTTATTTCACATTTTTACAATGCTGTGATCGGAATTTGAAGGCGTCGGGCTGAGGCCGACCCAAAGCGATGCCGGGGTCCGAGTTGGCGGACTGCAGCAGCTCGGTGCCCTGGCTGCGGATCACCCACAGCGGATCTGACTGGGCGGTGCCTTTCGGGTCCAGCAGAACCACCTGAAACTTGCGGAAGTCTGTCGACTTGATGTCGCGGTTGAGCGGACAGGGATCGAGCGCGTCGGGAATGTTGTCGTTGTCGAAGTCGTCAAAACAGGCGTCTCCGCTGCCATCGCCTGGTAGAGTGAACCCCCGCCGATTTCACATTAAGCATCCGCAAACTCACCTATCGTAGCAAATGTGACTCTGATGATTGATAAGAAGAGGAAAAAGCTGCTCGGTGCTAACCGTCGGCGTCCGACTGCTTCGGATTGGCCACCAGCCTGCAGTTGTCCCTGTCGTCGGGCACGCCGTCGTTGTCGTCGTCGTGGTCGCAGGCGTCACCTTTGCCGTCGCCGTCGTGGTCGGCCTGGTTGCTGTTGGCGACGTAGGGGCAGTTGTCCCGGGAGTTTTGCTGGCCGTCCTCGTCAATGTCCTCGTTGTCATCACACAGGTCTCCCACCAGGTCGTTGTCGGAGTCCGACTACGAAACGGGAGCCCCCGCCAAGTGTACATACTGTCGATGTTGCTTTTCATTCTTGCATGCTTACTTCTGCGTTTCCCCTCACCGTGCGTTCCTTACCTGCCGTGGGTTGTGTAGGAGAGGACAGTTGTCACACTGGTCACCGACGCCGTCCAAGTCGGTGTCTCTCTGCTCAGTGTTGTAGACCAAAGCGCAGTTGTCGCGATCATTTGGAACCCCTGGTCAAGGAATCCAGACAAGTACGTCAATATCAGATGGCGCTGCTTTCCAAGTTTGACTTCAGAAAACCTTAACCCAGGCTTAAAGCCTTTTAACACCAGTCCGGTGTCAAGCTAGCCTTCGTACCATCTCCGTCCATGTCAACGCTGCAGGCGTCTCCCTCCCCGTCGCCGTCGGTGTCCGTCTGCAGCGAGTTGCTGTCAAAGGGACAGTTGTCACAGCGGTCCCCGACACCGTCCCGGTCCGTGTCGAACTGTCGGGGGTTGTACACCAGGGGGCAGTTGTCCTGTGACAAAAGGCTTCCATTAACATTCGGTTGTCATTTGCAAAGCTATGGGAGAATTATTGATTCACAGTCACTGTGCCGTCATACATCAGTGTGCATTGAAATGATCGGATTTCACCAAACTGGTTTGGAAAACAGTATATATTTTCTACAAATAACATTTTTTTGTTTGTTATCTATGCCAGTGACATATTGTGACAGAGACCACAATGAAATGCTCTTCCCACTGGAATCAACAGAGTATGCGTTGAGGGTACCCGTTCGTCGACGATGTCGTCGTTGTCATCGTCTGGATCGCAGGCATCGCCTTGTCCGTCCACGTCGAGGTCCTCCTGTCCGGAGTTGGGTACCGACGGGCAGTTGTCCTGCAGCCAATCGGCGGTTAGATCACGTGGTTTTGGTAACTGGTTGTTTGTTTGTTACCTTACCATTTGGCAGTGATATGTTCCGTTCCTTTTGCAGGTCAGACCGCTGTTTGGCCATCCGTCCAGATCGGCGTCCTCCCCGCAGAGAAAGCCGTCGCCCGCAAAGCCGACGGCGCACACGCACTTGTACAAGACCTCCGAGGCCAGCCCCAAGTAGAAACAGTCGGCGTGCTTGTGGCAGGCGTGTGTGTTGTCTTTGCAGGGATTGTACGGCGTGCACACCTACAACCAAAGCTGCCTCAGGACTTGGACTTCCAAGCCCAAGACAAGACATTCATGGAGGTAAAAAATAGAAAACATACTTGCCGGGTCCTTTGGGCTTCCTTCAGGCCGAGACCGAAGGGCTGTGTGCCTTTGTATCGAGGAGGACAGGGTAGACAGTAGAAACCAGGGTCTGTGTTCACACACGCCGTCACGCACACTCCCTTTACGTCACACTGCAGAAACACATGTGAAAACAGTTTGGCTTTGTCGGCATGTTTCTTGAGAAGACAGAATTTAAAAAAAAGTCTCGGAAAAGTTTTTGGTTTGAACCAGCCACTTTGTTTCAACTGAACAAGATTGGTGGGCCCTTCGAACGTCCAAAGACCGTCGTTCCACATCAACATTCGGCACTCCGCGTTACCTCATTGTCATCTTCGCAGTGAGTGCCGTTGCCATGGGAACCCACGGGACATTCCCCGCACTGCCACGAGCCGTCGCTACCTGACGTGCACCGCACCCCGGGAAAGCACGGCGTTAACAGCAGACATGGGTCTGAAAACAAACACAAGAGGTGAATCAACATCAACACAGGGCCGTTTTTGATAGGTGGTGTGAAGGGGGCTTTTGAAACAAGAGGTGAATCAACATCAACACAGGGCCGTTTTTGAAGGGGGCTTTTGAAACGAGTAACATTTGTTACCCGCTAATTTTAAGAGTCTTGTCTTAGAAATTTTCCAGAAGTCCAAGTAGGATGACATAAGAACCATGGGGCACCCCATCATCTAAATTGAGTGAAAGAGAGCTCGTGCTACACTTGAGTGCTGAGTGATGGTTTTACCTAAAAGACACGGTTGTTTGTTGCAAGCTTCATAGTCGGAAGCGTCTCCAGCACAAAGCTTCCCACCATATTGCGGTGCGGGGTTCAAACACTTCCTCTCTCGACTCAAAAGGCCACCCCCGCACGATTTGGAGCACGGGCCCCACTCGGACCAGGATGTCCAGCCTCCTGGCACTGCACACACACGTACACAACAGGTCACCATTTTATCACAAAACGTGAGCTCATGGCTGCGCTCACCTGGACAGGGTGTGTTGTTACAAGGCTTTGTCTCGGTGGCGATGCCCGCACATCCGCTGCCTCCCTTCTGCTTCGGCGGATTGTTGCAAAGTCGCACGCGTGTGATGTTTCCGCGTCCGCACGTGGTTGTGCACGGAGACCAGGGGGACCACAGACTCCAGCTTCCGTCAGCGCGTTCTAAACACGGGTGTGTGTGTGTATATATAAATTTGGCCAATTTCAGGGGTCATTCAAACGGGAACTGAATCAGGAGTACGTGGACCACGTGTACTCGATAAATGGGCAGGCTAAATTGCCAGGAATTTGAGTTCTTGTCACTGTGTGTGGGCAGAGCATGACGACAAAGTTTTGACGTCTTCCTAAAGAAGTCGTTCACGTGGCTTCCTGAAGCCCGCAAAATTCTCCACGCACATCACATCCTCGCTGCGTGAGTAGACAGTCGAAGAGCAAAAATATGGTTCCAATTAGGATAATCAGTTCCCCAATGCGCGTTGAGTGAAGTTGAAAGTCTCACGTGGCTCGCTCGCAGAAGCGGCGTCCTTGGCGCACATGTGCGCCGTCAATCAGAAGGAGAAGTCAAATAAACAAAAGGCGATGAGTCAGGGCGTGTTGCGAGCTGATGTGCTATACGTTACCGGCGCCTTCGCACTTGCTCGGCGTGCAGCCGCGGGTTTGAAGCGACGGCCCCGGGCAGGACGCCGCGTTGCACGAACGGCCCCGCCGTTGCGCTCCCCGGCCGCAGGTGGACGAGCACTCGGTCCACTCGGACCACTGGGACCAGCCGTCTGCTTGGTCTTGACAAACGCAAAAGAAAATACCCGTTTCGGTTGATTCCGCAATAACCATAATTCACCCCTAACAGGATCAAACTTTCTTGTTGTCTGAAACAACTCATTTAAGGTTCTGGTTCTGTTTATGCAAGGTTCTAGTTCTTTTTTGTGGGAAGTTCAGATTTTCCGGGGAGCTTCTGGTTCAGTTTCTGGTTGTATGAGATGGGAAGTTCTCTTTGTCGTGTACTGGAGGTTGGGATTTTTTGGTGGATGTTCTGATTTTGTTTGTGGCGGGTTCTAGTTAAGTTTGGTTGCAAATTCTCGGTTCAGAGATGGGAGGTCCTGGTTCTGTGAATGACACATTCAGTCTACATTTTTTTCCTGTTTTGTTTAACAGGACAGAACCAATGGAGTTGCTTGAGACATCGACACAGAGCAAAATCGTAATAGTCTGATAATTGCAGGTAAAAGTTGACTCACCAAGGCAGACGGGGCAGCACTCTCCCTCGACAAAGGACGGATTGACGCAGGACACGGGGGCGCATGACGCTTGATGACACAGCACCCTGCCATACTAGACCCAAATAATTAAACATAGAGCAATAGAGGTTCCCCCCCCCCCACCTCCCCACTGTTTTGCCAGATGTAAGTTTGAGGAATGAGATCATGACAGACATAATCAAGTAAATGAGACTCAATGAGGACGCATATTAAACAATAAGTGCTGTACAGAACAAGAAATAGTATGTAACAGATGTGGCGGACAGAACACGATCGGAACGCTATTTAACCTTCAGGCTGTTTATCAATACAGTGGGTTGTCATGTCCTCCAAAAGGGTTTTGCGGCACTTTTTTGTCCACCCAAAGTGGCAACATCGTCAATGCACGACCCACCTGGCAGGCGCAGGCCACGCAGCTGTCCACGTCCCAGTCGTCGCCGTGTTCGAACACTCGTCCGTCCTGCACGCACGAGATCTCGTTCTCGCCGCCGCTCACGCCGAGCCCGGCCATCGTCACGCGCATCTCTTCGTTTTCTTTTGACTGACGAGACCCCCAAAAAAGAGAGAGAAAAAAAAAGATTAGTAGTGTGGAAATCCAGACTCGAGTGTGAGTTTGAGAACCGCTGGTTTCGATGTACCATCAAGTTAGGACGACATCTGAGAAGGGATTTGCGGTCGGTGAAGAAACAGTGTGGCTATTCTTTCAGCCGACTTTTAAAATGAGAGGCGCTTCCACCGACGCAGGATGTTAATACTTGTTCCATTTGCGCTGCTTTCTTTTTCGGCCGCACAAACCTCAGCTTGGCATCAGCTGAGCACACAGTCTGACAGAGACGTTAGCAGTGGGCATTTTCGTATGTTTCCAATCAGCTTCCCCCCTCCTAAAAAAAACGTCACTTTTTGGACTTTTAACTCAAAGTGAGTACCAACCATGAGAATAACCACTGAGAGTATTTGTGACAATCATGAAAAATGAGCGAAAGTCTTGATGAGATGAGATTTGACAGATTTATCATTTTTAGAAACAGATTTTATCAAGTCAAAATGTTTTTTGTACCACTTGATTCTAATTGGGTGTTTTCCATGTTTCTGCATTTTAAATGTGGTCTTAACTCCCATCGAATTCCATGGGACACATGAACATTCAGAGAGGAGTCAAGTTTTACAATTGCAAAATGAATGTTCTACGACTACTTTTGATCATGTCTTTTTTTTAATTCAACTTTTTTTCATTCATAATTAAGAACAATTAATGTTGATCCCTTCAAAATCATTTCCCATGTAAACTATTTCAATCATCATTGTCCACTCCAATAAATAAATAAGAGTGACATACTCCTTGCCAAATAGTGAGCCAACCCTTTGCATGTTATGTGTAATCCATCTTTGTGCAGGTAATTGGAAAAAGAAAAAAAATCCATCTGACCACTCTGTCCAAGTCTTCCCGTAGGTTTCCGGTGACCACTCGCATGTCGTGGATGTCGGCGAGCAACTGCACCAGCTCCTTGCACGGATGACGACACACCGCCGATGTCACGTTGGCCATGTCGGCGCAGTGCACGCCTGCGTATCATCACGCGTGAGTGTTATGTGTGCGGTAAGACAGAATGTTCAATTGACACATATCAGCCACTTCGGTGGGTAAATAAAGGCAACCAACCACAGCGACAATAAACATCATTACATAACTACCTCTGACAGTAAGCATCATTTGATATATATTTTTGATGATGTAGCTCATGAAGGGACTAGTGGGTGTCAAGGTGCGGTACCTGCGCACACGGCGGCCGCGTAGAGGAGCAGCCGGGGAAAGGCCGTCAGCCCGCTCATCATCCCTCTTCACGTATGAATCCTTCTGTTAGTTCTCCGAGTCGACGCTGGTTGAGAGGGGAAGAGCTCTGTGAGTTCAGACCAAATTAGTAATGTTGTTACACTGTGAGGGGGGGGAGAGAGAGAGAGAGAGAGAGAGAGAGAGAGAGAGAGAGAGAGAGAGAGAGAGAGAGAGAGAGAGAGAGAGAGAGAGAGCGA